GTGTGTGTGTGTGTGTGTGTGTGTGTATATAAAACACACGCTTCGTTGTACTACTTTAACTACATATATAGCATGTTATATATAGTATATGTTAGTGTATTAATTATTTGTATTACAAAAGTGTTAACGGATTACATTTATATTATTTAGATAGTAAATATAAAAGTAATTCAAAAGTTTGACCAATGTTGACGTAATAACCGACCAACTTTGGTCGGTTATTTTACAGAAAATAAAACTTACCGACCAAAGTTGGTCGGTAAATGCTTCCCCTGCATTAACCGACCAATGTTGGTCGGTAATTTTAAATATAAATTCTTAAATTTTATAAAATATATTAAATAATAAAATAATTATTAAAATTTAAAAAATTGGGTCCAGATTACCGACCAACGTTTGTCGGTAATCCAAAATTTTTTTTGACTAAGAAAGTGACCAGCTGGGTCAACTTGTTGACCAATTTACCTACCAACGTTGGTCGGTATTTATTTTAAAAAAAATATAAAATATTTTTTTTCCAGTTTCCGTCCAAGCTGGACGGTTTTTGGTCGCTTTTTTTGACCGACCAACGTTGGTCGGAAATTTTTGGTCGGATTTTAGCGGATTTCTAGTAGTGATTGTATACTCTCTTTTTTCTCTAGAAAAAATAATTCACATATTTTAGAGGTATAGATATAGAATTTCTTGTTTGTTCGTTAGATTAGAGAGATGTTTAGCGAAGATAAACATCATCTGAATTTCCATCTTCACATGCCTCACATTCACTTTCATCATCGTGAGAAGAAAGAATTGAAAGATATACCAGAGGGGAGTCTTGCATTTAAAGTGGGACAAGAAGAAGAGCAAAAGAGGTTTATTATCCCTATGGATTATGTCAATCATCCCTTGTTCGTGCAGCTATTGGCCGAAGTAGAGGAAGAATACGGATTTGATCACCAAGGCCCAATTAATATCTCTTGTCCTGTTGAAGAATTCATCCGTGTCAAGGGGTTGATTCATAAAGAAACCAATGGCGAGAACTCAAAAATTCATGATTTTTCGGTCGAGCTAGCTAGTTCTCCTAAAATACGTTGGAGAGAATTAAAGACGTCAAATCAAAAGTCAAGTTTACTTCACTCCCAACGACCTGCCCATCACCATCATCATAATCACCATTCATGGTTCCATATGTTGATCTAATAGTACTATATATTGACTCGGATTTCAATGCTGATCAAGTAATGTAAATTTCTAGTATTGCCTCGAGTTTTTGGGGTTTTCTTTTTCTTTATACTTTTTGCATGCTATGTTCAAAGATGTTCATGTACCCTAAAGTGTGGTGAAAGACGACGAACAAATTGGAATGATATTGTAATACAGATTACTTTTTTCATGTTCTAGATTCAAATTTATTTTTACTATTACAAGGGAAATTAAATTATGATTCTCGTGTTCTTTTAATTTGCTCGCCATGAATTGGTTCTTGCCTTGGCCTAAAACGGGACATGCTTTATAGCATTTACAAATTAGGCTCTTTATTTAACCACCAACAGAGTTTGAACTTGTAACAAAAAAAATTAATTTTTAATACTATATGTTACCTGGTATATATTTATAAGTATAGAGTAGTGCGTCTTTTATAAGAGAACTTCATTTACATGTTCTAAATTTAAATGTTTGATACGAATATCGGGTGTGTGAGTAAGTTTTTTCACTTTGCCATTGCTCTCTCGTTGCACCTTAGCTTTTCTTTCTGTGATACTTCTGATCTTTTCTTTATGAAACCATATGTAAACAGAAGGGGTCACTTAATAGGAATACGACTCAATATTGCTGTCCAAACTACTTTGTTTTCATTAGAAGACAATGTTTAAAAGATTAATTAGTTTGAGTTGTTTGTTATACTAATACGTAGTACTTAGCCAAAACAATAGTAGTACACGAAAGTATTAAGGTAATTGTTGTTAGTTTATTAGAAAAATCATTAATCAATTAAAAGGTATTTTTTCTTCTAAAGGATATAGAGTGTTCAACTGTTTGATTTTATATTATGGAGAAAATTATAAATTTATTACTATATAAAATAGCATTAAATTAATTATAGGAGTATTATCAAATGTTTTGGAACATTTTAGGATAAAAGAAAAAAAATACTTTTGGAACATAGCTATTCCAGAAGGCAGAGGCGAACACACGTTCAATGAAGTGCTGTAATGCGATACCGATTCGAAGAAAAATCTTACAATATATATATATATATATATATATATATATATATATATTATGTGAGAAATCGAATAAGTAGAAAAAATGACTATCACTTAACAAAAATTGTCTCCTAACACATTGGTTAATAGCCTTATTTTGCTCTAAGAGTTCACAAATTCGTTATTACTTACTCTAAAAAAAATTATCAGCAAGAGCGGCAAAGGGGTGCCAAAAAGAAAGAGCGGTAAAGGGGTGATGATTCAAAATTTCAAAGAGATCCCTAGAAATTACTGTAGCTGCATAGGAGATAAAAATAGCTCTAAGTCTCACCCACGGCCCACCGCCTGGGAATTAGATCTCAACCGTCCAGCTAATCTCTTTAGACGATAGAAATAAATGAAAAAGAGAGAGAAGATAGGAACGCAAAATTAGCAAACTGTACAATTGTCCAGAGTCCAAGCTAAAAACAAAAAGACAAGCACCCTATATACTCTGCGGTTTTTACAAACGCACAGAACTCATTTACACACACTCTCTCTCTCTCTCTACAAAATTTCTCTCTTTTGAAAGAACAGAGGTACGGGCAATTTCTGGGTTTTTTTCGTTTCCCCTTCCTTTTTTCGAAGTTATCTTCTTCTTTTTTTAATTCGTTTCTCTGTTTTCTTTTATATGTATATATGCCTTTTAAGTACGGGAAATTGGAACCCTAGGTTTATGGCAATGTTTAATTTTTAATCTTTATGGTGTTTTATATCTCTATGTCTGTAATTGTAGTTTTTGGGAATTCTTCTAAGCTAGGTTAGTGTAATTTTTTTTTTATTTGCAGAATTGAATCACCACAAAACTGAAGTGGATAAGTTTATGTGACATTTTTTTGATATGTCGATGGACCAAAACACAGAGAAAACCAAAACCCTAGCTGGGTTGGCAGCTGAAGCACTTGACTCTGAAACCCTAATGGCTGATACTGGTTCTGTCCCTGTACATGTGTTGCTTGATAAGGCTCCTAGGGTTTCTCAAGTTGATCACCAGCTGAATGTTAATGGAAATGCGGATACTGGTGCTACTACCGGGCCAGTTGTTGCGACTGGGAACAAGTTCAATGGTGATGGAATTTCTCTTTTGGTGGAAGTTCATCGGTCACTGGAAAATGTTGATGGGAGTTTAAAAGAGTGTGGTAGTAAGGGAATGAATGGAGAGGAGAATGGAGCTGAGCAAACAGAAACTGAGATGGTTGATGCTGTTGATGGGGGAAAAGACGTTGAGAGGAGTGGTACAGAGCGGGGTAGTCAAGGGACAGAAGAAGAGCAAGGATCTGGGCATTTGTTTAAGGGAATGAATGTAGAGGAGAATGAAACTGAGAAAATGGAAAATGAGATGGTTGATGGGGGAACAGAAGATGATAATTCTGGGGAAGATGCAAGGAGTGTAAAACATGTGTATACTGTGGGTGATTTTGTTTGGGGCAAGATTAAGAGTCATCCATGGTGGCCAGGACGTATTTATGATGCTTCCTGTGCCTCGGACTTTGCTTTGAAGTTTAGTCAAACAGGTCGATTGCTAGTTGCATACTTTGGAGATGGCTCATTTTCTTGGTGCCCCCCTGCGCAGTTGGTGCCTTTTGTGGACAACTTTGAAAAAATGTCGAAGCAGAGCGCTTCCAAGAGCTTCTTATATGCTGTTGAAAAGGCCTTGGATGAAATTAGTGTGCTTGTGGAGTTTGGTATGACTTGCCAATGCATCTCTGAAGAGAGTCGTTGTGGACTCAGTTGGCCATTGGCAGTGAATGCTGGAATTAAAAAGGGAGTTCGACTACCTGAAGGAGAAACTGTCAGACTATTACTTTCTCAGTATGAACCTGCTGGAATACTTAAAGTTCTAAAACATTATGCACGAACAAACTCTAATTCCAATATACTTGAGTTTGCTGTCTTGAAAAGTTGGCTATCTGCTTTTTATCGTGCTACATGTGGATGCCCTTTGGCTCTATATTGTGAACCCCTGCAAGTTGAAGGCCTTGAGGACAAGAAGGATCAAGTTGTTGATGCAAATGACTTTAGCATACCTATCGAGGTTCCTATTCTGGGTCCATCAGAAGAAGAAACTCCAAAATCTGGCCCTGCAAAGGGCCCTCTGACTGCTTGTGACAAGATCTCTCACAAAAGAAAGCAGAAAAGTGTTGCTGAACTTATGGAAGATTCTACACCTTCGCCTGTTGAAACGCCTGAGAAGAAAAGGAGGAGGAAGTCTGGTGAGCAAGCTAAAGGTCACACTAGCAGTTCTAAGAGTGTCGATGAAAAAGTTGGTAAGAGGGTAGGCAACAAACCCGGTGACACTGACTTGGCTAAAACAAAGAACCTCAGTGTTTCAATTCCTGAGCGTGATGAAATTGGTGACCAGCAGGACACAAATGGGGGCCCTCTGTCAAGGGAAAGAAAGAAGAGCAAGTATTTATCACCTCCTTATATGAGCCCTACGTTGACTGCAGGAAAACCAAACTTGAAGAGAGAACTGGAAGCAGAATCTCAGAAAATTTCTGAGATAACCAGGATTGGTGAGCGGATGGCAAATGCTGCTCGGCATATTTTATCTTCCCCTGCAACCAATGGCAATGAAGCTGTAAAGAAGAAAAAGGCTGAACGGTTTGACATGACTTTTGACACGATGGATATCGATTCAGTCGATGAGGTACTCTCTGAGGTTCAGTCTACTGCTGTCAACCCTCTTTTCTTGAAGAATAGATCTCTTGAGAAGACCAGAGGTTTCATCTCCACCTTCAGGAACTCAGTCTATCTGGACGGATCAAACTACAAGCAATATCACAAAGTGAAAACAGGAAAGAAGAGAAAATCTCGGCCGTCTAGTCAGGGAACAGTAGATGAGGAAGCTGGTACAGAAACTTCACCTGTGATTCTGATGGTGACATTCTCAGCTGGTTTTTCTTTGCCGTCAGATGACGAAGTTATCCAAATATATAACAAGTTTGGGGATCTGAATGAAAAGGAAACAAAAGTGTTACATGATTCAAACTCTGTTCAAGTTGTTTACATGCGTGGTTCAGATACTGAAGAGGCCTTCCAAGAATCGGTAAAGCAAAGTCCTTTTGGTGCTACCCAAGTTAACTTTAGGATCATTTATCCCTCAAACTCCGAGATTCCACTTTCTTCGCTGAGATCAGCTAAGGGGAAGTCACAAGTGCAACTAATCAAGCAGAAGCTGAAGGGGATGTCATCAATCCTGGAAAAATGCAATGGTAAGATTACGACAAAGGAGAAGGCGGAGTTGGAGGGTGAGATAAAAGGCTTGCTGGAGAAGGTTAGTGCAGTGACATCAACAAACCCATAGGGGAACTGTTTTGTAGGATGTGAAGCTGGTTGGTTAAACTTGGATCTTCTTTTGTTGATAGTGTTAGTATATGGTCCGGCTTATGTTGATTAGGATACTTTCTGTTAGGTTCATGTATGAAGTAGGAGCATAGGATGCTAGCTTTATACAATTGATTTGCTCAAATTACTATACAGTTGCATGTACTTTACTGATGATAGTATTAGATTTAGGAGCTGCGGCTGGTTTTGGATTACCTGAATCTGCAGCCTCATGCCTCCATCTTCAACCCCCCCTCTTTCTCCAAAACCCCAAATGAAAAAGTAAAAATGGTCCCACCCTCTGCTTGAGGGAACAGTCCAGTCGAAGTATATTTTGCCAAAAGATACCTCTTCTGCGTTTGTAGAGAGTAGCTTGTATATTGCTTGGTGATTGCAGGGCTGGACTTTGTTTTCTAGGTATTTGCTGAGCCCACGATTTGCATGTTTGTGATAACTTGCATTTTTGCTAAGCTTAGAACTATCTTGAAGTTCAGCGAACAGAGTAGTAAGCACGGATTTTGAGGAAAAACTATTGTGTTCCTAAAGATGCATGCTCAAAGCTCCAAGCACATCTCACATCAGATGCTATTACTTTGTTCAAACTTTGAATATAAACGTGCTTTGAATATCTCACAACAATGAATTTTCAGACTACAAAAGGAAAGCGGTAGAGGAAAAACTTAGTCACAAATCAAAATTTCCAATTACATCTAGAGTAATTATTAATGAATTACTCCAGTTATTTATAGGGTTTTGAGGATTCTCTTGTGAACTANGTGTGAAGATGTAGAAGTTCCATAGCTATTCTGCTAATCATAATACCAACTTTAGCACTTCAAGCTGTAGCTTGATTACCATTCGGTGTTGAAAGCTCATTTGTCCGATTAATCTAGATTATTCTAGGTAGGCCCACTAGGGAGTAAAGCATTTTCGACCAAGAAGTTTAAGCTTGAACTCAAGACTTCTAATCAAGATTCAAGAATTGAGGGATCCCAAATTCCCAATGATCCTACCATACTAGGAGTGGGAACTTTTTGTTCCTGGACTAAAATAGCTTTGTAACAGATATTCATTCCATTTCAAGTTACATTATTTTTCAAAAAATAGTAGTATTAACAAAAGAGCAGGAAAGGTTCAATTGAACTGAAATGATCAAAATACCACCAAAATTAAATCTCATGACATTATTGTTCGAAGTATGATTACTTTAGCTCGTCCCCTCTACAAAAGTAAAATATCATTGAGGAAAGTCCTGATACCCATATTTTATTTCCAAGTATCTATAAGCTCTTGGGTCAGATTAATGTTTCTTCTTTGCCTTTTCTGTTCTTTTTGGTCGAGACATTAAATTTGTTAAATGGAAGAAATAACTATCAAAGAGTACAAGAAGAAATGATTTGGAAAATGAAAAAAAAAATTAAATTAAATTGCTTCGTAGCTGGTATTCTATAATCTCTCCGTCTTAAGAAAACTAGAACAACTTTAGCACTAATGATATAAGAGGGCCACACGTCTTCTGTTATTATAATGAGTCAGAATTCGTTATTATTTTGATTGGTGAGTGCAATTGAAAGCTATAGATTATAAAAAATAAACTGCAGTTTTAATATTAATTTTCTAAAGTTCTATGGACATTTTTTATTCAACTTCTGATGTGGAGAAAGCTATTCTAAACCCACATAACTTAAGGTAGGTTCATTATGTTAAGGATGAGATCCCCATTTGTTTTAGGTGGGAAAATAATCTTGGAATATTATATTTATTTGCATTACCAAACAAGGAAATACCAAGTAATTAATCAATTACAATTTTGGCCTATTTTGTGAGATGAGGTGGAAATGGAGGTCCTCGGGACCCTTTCTTCCCATAATGTTTACCAAATGCAATAAGTTCTTTTTTTGTTTTTTGTATCAAAAGCTTAAAAAAGATATCTGATTATTTATTGTGCTAAAAAACATAATTATGCTATGCAACTCTTCCATCCCCACCCTTTGCCCAATTAATTCATATCTAATTTGTAATTTGATGCAAATAATTAAGCATTTTAAAGGAAACTGAGGAATGCATATTAACAATATGGAGTTGTTGGGAGGAGGAAAAGTGAGAATCTAGATAAAAAGGAGAGGGTATTAAAACCATAAGGGGAGAAGGTTTGGCTTCATTAAAAAACGAAAATGGTGTTTAATAACAAAAACGAAGAGAGGCTCTCTTAAATGTGAAAAAGAAAATACATAATACTATGATTTAACTAGATAGCTTTGATGAACCTATTGTTTCAAATATAATGATGAAGTTTATTAAGACCTAACTAATTAATTAACTTTAAGAATTGATAAATTAAAGCAAAAATGTACATCACTTAATCATAGTTAAATGTTAAAAAGTATATATGCAAGACAAATATTTTATATTTATTGATGTAGTGTAAATATGCGATGTGAGTAAAAATTTAACCTGTTTATCAAATACTTATTTCAGCTAGGTGTTTGAACCTAGCTTCATTTCTCAATTAAGTGCAACCCAATGGTCCACAGAGGGATGGAACACATTTCATTGATTTCAACCAAACTAAGTATTTGTCAAACAAAGATTAAATTTTGAACTCATAATTTCAAATGAATAAGCAAGAATTTTAGAAGCGTAAAAGTTTAAATTCTATATTCACCTCTAACGATAGACTTTAATGTGTATCAAGAGCAATGAAGCAATATCAGCATTGTGATCACAAGAAGTCATAATAATTAAAATTACGACTACAACTAAACTGTACAATTAATTCACAAAACAAGAAACCTAGTAGTAGTAATATTCTTGCTTACCTCTCTTCCTCTCCTTCACAATACAATGATGAAATTTTGGGTTACAGAAATGGAGATAAAAGTTGGCCAAAAACTTATGACCTATTAGCAGAAGAAGGTGAGATTCCAGTGAAAGAAACTCTACCAAAACCCAAATGACCAAATTCATACAACTCAAACCAAACCTCTTCTGCATCAATAAACCTCCCACTAAATTTGTCTTTTAACTCTTCTTCTTCTCCAATTACTATTCCCCATTTCGTCCTTTCTTTTTCTGCTTCTTCTTCTTCTTCATCTTCAAATACTTTTATTCTTCTTGATATTCCATCTATACTGTCCAGTTCATACGTCACACAATCACGGTAACTGTAACTCTTCTCCATTTCCTTCTTTTTCTTCTTCTTTTTCTCCAACTTTTTACTGCTTTTCTTTTTCCCTTTAACCAAGATTTTTTTACCCATTATCCACGGAATCTTGAAAAATGCCAGTCCTAAAATACTTATTACTGCACAAGGACAGCAACATAATGCCACGCAATCTGCAACCACTCCAACTGTACATGACTTGCAGGATTTTCCCGTGCACTCGATTTGGTCGCTGGCGTCGTCGTCGTCATCGTCGACGGCCACCACATGCCGGTGGTTCTTCACGGCGGTGATCATTGCGCCATTTCTTGATGGAATACTCACGTTCCCACCACCCTTATTACGTGCAACTACTGGAGATGGGTATACATCCATATCACCTTCTTAATAATATCTCTTTATTGATGATAATAACCTGTGAAACCAGCCGTGTAAACAATGATCATTAATGACTTAAAAATATATATATACACACACAAACAACTAAGTATATATAAATGTAGATACACACATAGTATATATATGTGCAGAGAAAATGAGTGGCACAACAATGGAGGACAGATCAGCTAATGGGATTTGGTATGGTGTGACTTTGGAAGCGTCTTTGACTCTTAAATGGTTCCAAAAGTACAATAAATAGTGCTCCCTCGTCTCCGTCTATATAGAACTATTTTTTATTTGGAATGTACCAAATATTCACAATTGACCACTTTCTAATTTTATACAATTACTCGAGCAACTTTTAAATTTATTAAAGTATTGACATTTAAAGTTTGAAGTGACGTAATTTAATTTGTTTTCTTTTTACTACTTTACTATCTCTTTTGTCTCACTAATATCTTTAACGAAAAAAGACCAAAATTGCCCTCAGACTATTCGATTTGGTATAAGTATACCCTTCGTCCATCTATTGAGCCAAAAATGCCTCCACCGTTATCTTTCTAGTTCACTTATGCCCCTACGACTAATGGTCAATACCAAATAAAAAAAGGTTTACTTAAATTACACGTGACAACTTTTTATTGATCAAATTTTAAACCATGATCCCAATTAAATAAACTCACCCTTAACCCAACCCAAAAATCCTAACTCGCCTTAAAAAATGGCCAAACTCTTGATTGTCAAAAAAATAATGAAGTCAATTCAATATTTTAATTAAACTTGTTAAAACTACTCCTATTTCAATTTAAAATGACGCACTTTCCCTATTAGTCCGTTCCAAAAAGAATGACATATTTTTATATTTAGAAGCAATGTAACTCTTAACTTTTTATTTTATCCAGTTTATCCTTAATGAGAAGTTTTTGTAGTCACACAAATATTATGGTCTCACAAAGCTTTTATCGCTTAAGCTTTTAGGTACACATGATTCAAAAATCTTTTTTTCTTTCTTAAACTTTGTATCAAGTCAAACTACCTCGTCTAAATTGAAATTGATGCAGTATTATATAACTGTGGGCGTATTTAAGTACATTGGAGTAGAGAGATGTATTTAGAACGGACAAGGTAGAAAAATTTAACCATCAAAGAAATATGGGGGGAAAACTACTGCTCACTTTTGACAGCCTGAGACCTAAGTAGAGAGGGCTTATTTGCTATGGAATTTGGTGAAAAAATTCATCACACAGTTACAAATCCAACTATTTTGGGCAATCTGTCTTCCCCACGCCTAATTAGTTGAAATATGGTCTTTGGTTGCTGACAGCAATAACTATATATTTTTTTCCCTATTGATATGTTTAGCTTGTTGTAATAAATAACATATTTCTTATGTGTTATGTTAGTAATCCAAAATTTTATGGACATTACATGCAGTTATCATTTATATGATCTAACAGTGAAAAATTCTCTTAGACTATCACTGTATAGACATATGATAAGTCTAATAACCTAAGTGTATAGAAGTTAAATTCATACTTTTTCTATTTTAATCAAAGGCGGATCCAGAATTTAAACTCAATGAGTTCAACTTTTAAAGGTTTAATATTGAACTCATTATATTTTTGAAGTTATGGACTTATGGGTTCATATCTATTATTTTGGCAATTTGAACGAATTTTTATACATAAATTTTTATTTCGTGTC